CACACACACACACACACACAACCATCTCTCTCTCTCTCTCTCTCTCTCTCTCTCTCTCTCTCTCTCTCTCTCTCTCTCTCTCTCTCTCTTTTGTCCAGGGTTCGACCTGAAATTCGACATCAAGTCCGAGGTTCAAAACCCCACGAAATCATATCTTTTTTAGAAGTTATAAAAAAGAGCGACGGAGGGGACAATCAACCAAATTCCAATCGGAAGTCCATTCGACGAAGTTGGAAACTGAGTGCCCGATTAGGAAATCCTTTCGTCCACGTGGCGTGTCTCGAGATCTCCTCTTCGTTTGGACTAACCGTATGTGCTATCCTGTTTTTTTTTTGTTTTTTTTTTGTACGATTTCTCAATTTCCGTATGTCATCCTTGTGGGGGGGTGGGGGGGGACGAACAAACAGGTTTTTTTTTTTTTTTTTTTTTAAGGGTAATGCTAGTCATACTAGCGTCTTCACCCGAATAGAACGCCCAGTCACTACCGCTGTAATAACTAGACTCAAAACTCGGTAGCTACCCGTATTTGGCGGCGTTTATACGGGTCATTATACGGGTTATTATACGGGTGATTATACCCGTATTTGGCGGCGTTTATACGGGTCATTATACCCGTATAATGACTGGGCGTTCAATTGTTTTCGGGGGGATAAGGTAGCTACCGTCTTCACCCGAATAGAACGTACTGTCATTCTCGCTGCATCTGGACTGAAAGTTGTGCCAAAAACAGGCAGAATGACCGCTGCATCTGGACTGAAAGTTGTGCCAAAAACAGGCAGAATGACCGTGCGTTTTATTCGGGGGAAGACGGTAGTATTGGATGTTACATCTGGTGGTCCCCCACAAAGGGGTTTGAAGAGGCTATCCTGTTCCCTTGGGGACCGCCAGATGTAACGTCCAATACTACCGTCTTCCCCCGAATAAAACGCACGGTCATTCTGCCTGTTTTTGGCACAACTTTCAGTCCAGATGCAGCGGTCATTCTGCCTGTGTTTGGCACAACTTTCAGTCCAGATGCAGCGGTCATTCTGCCTGTTTTTGGCACAACTTTCAGTCCAGATGCAGCCTATGTCCATCATGTATCCTTCTAGATGACGTTGATGGGACGCTGGATCTGATTTCCAGCAGGTGCAGGTCCCCATCAGCAGATCGAGAGCAGTTGGACATAAGCTAACTAGGGGTGGCTGCTTGCATCCCCATCGCTGGAAGGTTTAGTCTATCTAAAAAAAAAAAAAAAAAAAAAAAAAAGGTAAGAGGTAGGGGGTGGTATAGTCGGATTCGGCAGGGGCCAAGGTAAATAAAAATCTTTCTTTTTTTTTTTACAAAATTTTAGAAAAGCCTTTGTGTATCAAAGATGAACTTTACTTACTGTGTGATTGAGATTATAGCTTTATTATCAAAAAAAAAAAAAAAAAAAGATTAAGAGGACGGACAAAAAAAGGGGTAAGAGGTAGATTAACCCCCCCCACATAACAAAAAAAGGGGGTAGTAGGTACATTGACCCAAAAAAACTCCCCCCGGGGCCAAGTCCCACTAGCAACGTTGAGCTACCTCAACGCCTGAATGTGGACGCTTTTTTTGCGGAGATGTGCAGACATGGTGTTGAGTTTCCTGAACTGCACGTCTCCACAAACACCTCCAGATTCGGGCGTTGAGGTAGAGCTCAACGCTGCTATTACATTGTAGTAGTGGGACTTGGCCACCGAGAAGGGGGTGATAATTGCCGTCGAAGCTTTTTTTTCATTCGAGACGGGGAAAAATCACAATAAAAGGTGTGAATGAAAACATATGAAAAATAATAATAATAATTAATAAATAAATGATTTAAATAAATACGTGGGGTAAAAAAAAAAAAAAAAAGCAAGGAGGACGAAGGGTGGAAGGGTAAAGAAAGGCGAAGATTGGCCCTGAAAAAGGGGCAATACTACCCTCAAAGCTTTTCATAATTAGGTTTTTTTTTTTTTTTTTTTACGGTCTGATTGATTTAAAAAAAAAAAAAAAAAAAACCATTACGCTTGAAGCGGGCAACCAGTCAAGACCGATGCTGCCAAGTTATTAAAAAGTAATAATATAAAAAAGGAGACGGATTCGAAGCATCGCCTGAAAGGGGGGAGAAGGGGGGGGGGGGGAAATGATAATAATAATAATAATAATAATAATAATAATAATAATATAATTATAATAATAATATAATTATAATAATAATAATATAATAATAATAATAATATAATTATAATAATAATATATAATAATAATATAATAATAATATATAATCATAATATAAAAAAAATAAATAATAAAAGAGAACCCTCGGTAAGTATCATCATAACGTACAGCTGACTACCAATCTGTCGCATTTGGGAAAGAGAAGAAGCATCAGGGAAGGTTCAGATAACTACCGTCGAAGCGACTGTCATCGGTGCAGCTTTCCCCCGAATAGAACGCACGGTCATGATCGCTGCATCTAGACTGAAAGTTGCCCGTACTGCAGCTATATAATGACCATACGTTGTATTCGAGGTTCCCAGAAAAGAGCCTGAAGAAGACACAGAGAGAGAGAGAGAGAGAGAACGCTTCTCCTCCTACACATCCTCCTCCTCCTGCTAATCGTCCACATCACCCTCATCCTCCCCTAGGCTTCGTCATCATTTACCTCCTCTCCTCTTACCCCTTCAAACAAAACAGAAAGAGAGAGACAGACTGTGAGAGAGAGAGAGAGTAGGCCCCCTGCTCCTCCTCCTCCTCCTCCTCC